GTAACTTTACTAAACAAGTCTAAAAGTACAGACAATTAGGGTCTGAGCATATAATCCAAATTTTTGTTTTGCCAAACCAGACGAATATTTTCCTCTGAGTCTCAACTTACTTGTATCTCTTTCTCTTTTTGTGTTTGGGTTTCTTGTGATTTCTTCAACTGAACTTCTACATCAGAACATATTTTTTCCAGCTCAGAAACCCTTGCTGTTGCTTCCTGAAGTTTGGCTGTCAAGGAGTTCAGAGCATCTGCTTGGTTTGAGTCAGCAGCTGAAAGGTCAGTCATGCGCTTCTTCAAGTCAGATGTTTTGGCTTCTTCAGCTCTGAGAGCTTGTGCTGTTGAGTTCAGATCTTTCTGCAATGTAGTGTTTCTAGCCTGAGACTTATGAAGCTCTTCATTCACTTCAGCCAGTCGCTTTGATAACACATTCTCTGCCTCTTTCTGTGAAAGAAAATACATCACCCACTGCTAAGTGATATCCAACAGAGGAAAACAAAATTGGTTGGACTGAAGCAAATTTAACACATCACTCTCAATAAAACCCAAACCAATACATCCATTAGTGATATGTTAAAAAGTTCTCCAATTTCTTACCACACTGCTCTGATGAATTGTCAACTGCCGAACTTGCTCTTCACTCTTTGATAACTGATCAACTTTGGTACTAAGTTCTCCCTTAACATGACGGTATGTTTGCTGTAGTTTCGTCAGCTCTGTGGTAAGAGATTCTTTATCTGCAGTTCTAAAACCAAATATAGAAGACAAAGATGAAGTCAGTCTAGTTTCATTACAATGAAGTGACTAGGAGTATTGGTTAACCCCCCTCCCCCACATAGTCCCTGTTTTTGGTTGAAAGAGACATTGTGAGAGCAACTTGACTTGGCCAAGAATACACACCACTGGCCAGAACAAGAACCCAACCCAAAGTGGAGGTCCAATTCACTAACCCAGGCCACTACACCTTCCAATAACAAAATGCACCCACATTTCATTTATGCCTTTGACACCCAGGAGTGAATAAAGGGGTATTGCTCTTTACAACAACAATACAATCTTTGGTGATGAGAAGAAAGAAGAATATCAAGTAGAATATTCTGTTTTGTTAAACAACAAATACCCTAAAACAAAACCATAAGACAGTAAAGAGAATGGATAGAAAGATCAAGTGAGTGGAAGAGCAAAAAAGATGAATATCAAACAGGTGCATGATCAAACAGAGACATTTGCTGCAAAAATGTACTCTCCGATTAAATTTATTACAATTAAACTTGAACAGATCTTGATTTACTTACAGTTGTGTTGCTCTCATGGATGCATTCTTCAGCTGAGCATTTTCCTATTTTTACAATAACGCAAAAAAGTCAGCTAAGGATAATACATAATTTGCTAGGGGCAAGAGAGGGGTGACAACAGGTGGAAGAATAGGACAGGGGAGGGTGGGAGAAAAAGGTGTATAGTGGGGTGGGGAAGGGAGACAAAACAAAGTGAGGGTGGAGAGACTAAGTTCTAGTAAATAGTGGAGAGAGCGAGATAGATAGAGTGAATTTGTAACATATAATCTAAGTAGACCATGGTACTGAATAATGAAGGGGAGGTGAGTTTATGCCTGAGAGAATAGAATATCACTTACAAAGGGAAATGGCTTTAAAAGTTGATGGGTAGAAGAAAGAAATAAAAGACATCTTTACCTCTTGAAGGCGTTGAACATTACCCACAGATGAAGATGCCACCACATCCTGCAGCTGGCGCAACTGACTTTGCAAAGTTTGCACCTCCAATGCATGGCTATCATGAGAAGCCTGCATGCGAGCTTGGAGAGCTTGGATCTCTTTGGTCTGTAAGGAGAGATTGTTTTAGTCACAAAATGTCTGCATGATTAACTAAATTAGCTCACCTTGCTGTGGTATTGTGTGAGGAGGAAAGAAAGCATTACTCTGACAAGCAGCATTGCAGCAGTCTTAAAAAGTTTTGCATGATTTACCGTTTTAATCCATATCGGTGGCAGTTGAGCATTTCAACTTACCTGAGCATTGATTTTACTTGTTGCATTAGTTTGTTGATTCTTCAGTTTTTGCTTTTCTTGTTGTAGTTCATCCCTTGGAGGGAAAAAAAATACATTATCATACCATAAATAACTGCAGTTCAAAGTTTCTTGGCCAACTAGTCTGTCAGACTACGAATCTGTTCATTTGTTCCAGTTTCTTACAGACCTTACAAACCTTCTAAACAAAAGACAAAAGCCCATGCCATGGACATTAAATAATAAGCACCCTAAGAAGGCCAAAATGTGTGGTCATCCCCCAAGATAAATTTACAGTAATAATTTAGTGGCTTACTTCTTATATAAGAGTGTCTTGAAATAATTGGGGTCTGTTGGCAATAGGTTTTTCAGAGATTACCCCAATAGCACATGCACTTCAATAACAATTACAATGAAAAAATCAAACCCATTTCTATCACTCTGTCTCAAAGATATGCTCAATTTCTGTTTCTTTGGGTACTTCTTACATTGTTTTAAAATTTCAATGTTGCATACTTATTCTTGTAGGCCAATTAGAAAGTTCTGTACTGCTATGTTTCAGAATTGTGTTTCTTGCCATTTTAACCCTTCACTAGGCCTCACTATCAATAGCATATACACTTCTGGCATAAATTACAAAATACAGGTATGTATAGGTATCAGTGCTGTTGGCTAAGAAGAATACCAGCTACAGGGAGTTTAAAAAATCACAATATTGAACTTGAACAGGTCTGAACATTGTCCTTACCTCAACTCCCTTAGCTTATTAGCAGCATTCTGAGATTGTTGACGCTCTAAAAATAAAAAGGAAGACATTGCTTAGTTTGTAACTTTAGGGATGCATTGTGGTTTTATGAAGGACAACATTTCAACTTTTGGAAGGAATCACCTTCATGTGCAGCATTTAATACACCAGCTCACTACCCTGCTCGACTTTTATAGGAAGTTCAAAATTGGTTAACTTCAGGTCAGTACAAAATATGTTAAAAAACTGATGCTCACAAATACTTTTGCTGATAGAGAAACTGTTAAGCAAACCCATTGAAGAATGTCTGAGTTATCAGTAATTGGAAGTTCATAGAAGCATTCTGGCTTCCAAACTGAAAATCAGATCTATCTTTCTATCCCATGCGTATAACCACAGAACTACATTATAAAGGCATCTGTAGCTAAGAGAATGGGAACATGACTGACTGAAATCCTTTAAATACTGATTTCATTCTTCAAAAAGAACTCCAGAAGTTCTACATTTTTCAAGATGGATTATGCTAAACACCTGTATAATTAAATGACTTCAGATCTTACACACCTTCTGATATCTTTGTCTCTTTTTCCTGAAGCTGTTTCTTCAGCAACTCCAATGTATCACCTTTGGAAGATGACTATTAAGAAAAAGATCACCGTTACATTAGAAAATACATAGAAATATACACAATAATAATTCATATTCAAATCTAAATGCTGGTTCAGAAAATCAAAACTGAATTATCTATCACTGTCATACTTAAGAAAACTGATGCATCTGTTTTGGGTTATAAAGTAACTTTCACCTTGTGACCTAAGGTTGTAGCCTACAATCACCAACAAAATTAATATATAGATTTAGCCAAGCCTAAAAGCGGAGCTCGCATTTTTTTTTTCCCCACACGTCTCAACACCTTGCCCCAGCCTGGACTAGCACCTGGGTTGTCTGACTCAGAGCCCAGTACACTAACCACTGGACTACTGAACAAAGCTGTGGCATTGATGTGCCTGCAGTACAGTTGACCACGCATGTTAAAAGTAGCACCTTGTATGGTCGTACATCCAAATATTTTTAGCTTGATGGGTTACTACTATTTTGTATAATTATGGGCTACCCTCTGCGAGCTCCGCGATTAAAATACAACCATAGAAACAGCAATAGCAGGCTAAATTTACTCCTGATACCCTTATCTTCACCACCTCTCCCTCTTTACAATAGCACACTTTGTTTTATGTGATCTTACAGTATTGAAAGAGGGAAGGGAGCTACTTGGGCTGCCTGCCATTAGTTGTTGGAGGCATAATTGCTAACTTCCCTACCTTCTTCCACTGACTATTTTCTCCTTGCTTGTTGAGCAGAACATCAATCAAAGATTGAATTTCAGTTGAGTTCAGGTTTGAAGCTGTCACCATTTCCATGAGGCGTTTAGTACTCACCTCACCTAAATGAGGAGAAAAGACAAATAAATTAGAAAATCTGATATAAACTTGTCAACAAATCTACTCTGTTTCAACAAACTACAAGTTTTAAAATTTATATAATAGTAAAGGCTAGTTTACTTTTAACCAACTACACATTACAAACTAAGATGACCTCAAAGTTTTAACATGTAAATTTTTCACTATTTATAACTGGTCAAGAGGTCCTCAAAAGGATTATTGTTTAGGGCAGAAGTCATTGTCGCAGTCATAGCACTTGTAGTCCATCAAATCACAAAATGCATGATACCTACTAGATCAAAATACAATAACAACTGAGATACAGAGAAATCTTGCAGCTACCACATTGGAGTTATCAAAATTCACTCAAACTACTAAGGTGGTCCGGTTTGTCACAAAAAGAAAAAAACATTGGCCTTACATCCTGTTTTTCAACAAAATAAACAACCCACTCAAGAATGTCGAATATTTTTGGTTTCCTAAAAGAAACCAAAAATACGACCAACTATTTTTAATATGAATTGATTAGAGGGTGTCAGGGTAGCAATTGGTGGTCTTATGTCATTAGGAAATTTAAATTAGAGCATAAATTCCAAAACTTAACAAAAAGGCTAAAAATCAGTATCTCATGAGCTGTGCAGTTTTTGGTGAAACAATAAAATTTAAATTTTGTTTTGTGTTTACATGTAGTAATGAGAAGGCATTAGGAGAAGTTTTATATTGAGTCGTATTTACAACCGCCAGACGAATCATTATTCATTGAATACCTTTCGCCTATATGTAAATCAATAAAACACTTTCAGTTCTCAAAATACTGTGTAAACCGACGTCTATTTTCATTTTATTGAGAGTAATTTCGTTAAAGTGAATTTATAACCAAATTCTAAGATCCAGACAGAATATTTATGGGGAAAAAAATGAGTTCACAAAATGTAATTTGGCGCGTTCTTATGCATGATTATGTGGAACTAAAATTTCGACTAAGAAAGAAACACGAAATTGAACAAGTCATGAGGTATTTAAATTTGGCCAGTACAAAACCCTACGTGTCCGAGATATTGCTGTTCTGTCACGCTTACTTTGAAACGTCGTTCAATGAAAATGAAAGAAAATTTTCTTTTTTCAGAAATAAACATGTAAACAGACTCCGCACCACTACAACATATCAGCACAGCATAACACAGGAAAAACATTACAACGATTTGATTGAATAATTTAAACAACATTCAAATAAAATAGCTATTCAAGAAACATTTTCCTTCCATTTTCCATTTCTTACGAGCGATCCATTAACTTTTCCAAGCCACTGTAAGCGATCTTGGTCTATTTAACCAAATGTATTCAATTAAGATCCATTGAAAAAGAATGTTGTACTACAATTTTCTCTATTTGCCACGTTGACTTTCATCCCGCTGAAGTGTACAACTTTGATTTAAATTCAGACTATTGGTCGATTACAAAGGTCTTTATGTTCCACTGTCAGGACGGCACGAATTTTATTTAAGCAGATGTAATTATTTCATTCTTTGTTGTATTTCTTCCCCAAACCTGAGCAAGCTTTTGGAAAGTAGCGCAAATAATTTTGATCAGGAGGAAATATAGTACGATATCTCACTAAAATTTCTGCTCACCTTGAATGGGGTCCCTATCTTTTGTTGTTTTGGGTTTGCTTTTAGACTTCTTCGCGGGAGCTGCTGTTTCACTGCTGTTCAGGGGTTTCGGCTGCTCAATTTCGAAATCCTCGGGTTTATCAGGTTCGCTTTCGATTGTAGAATCAACAACTTCGGAGACCATTTCTTCAGCCACCTCACGTGGTTTGTCGTGAATTACATGTCGCTCGGTCACGGAACTCGTGTCTTCTTTTCCTACAGCTTTCTTCGCCTTCTTTTTCCCTTGCCGGTCTTTTGCAGTTCCAGAGCCAGGCTTCTCTTCGGTTGCGGGAATCTTTTCTTCAGGACGATCGGGAAGGAATTCATCATCAGGCATAGTATCAAGGTTACTTGATCTCGATATCTCCACATTCGATTCGATCGTTTCCTCCACTTGGAGAGATGAAACCTCCTCCTGTCCTTCTCCATCATCTGAATACTTTTTCTTTGCTTTTCCAAACTTCTTCCGCTGTTTCACGGGCTTTGTAGACGCAGTGCGAGCCATGTAAGCCTCTTGTTCAGAGCGCTGAGCTGCGAGAACATCCTCATATCGCTCCTCGCGAGTTGCAAAGAGTAGTAAAAGAAGTGCAGAAAGCACGATTGCTACAACAACTGCAATGATAGCCAAAGTTATAGGATCGAGAGGCTGCATCTTAACGCTCAAAGAGCCTTGAAAAAAAACAGAAGAAGAAGCTTAGCTTTAGCTCTAAGCTAATACGTCCCTCACGGAAAAAAGTGATCAGACTTCGCGAATACTGTACAACAAATTCAAGGGAAGTTCAATCCCAAACATGGAGCATGCGTCCAGTATTGACTGACACGTGAAAGGGTTCTAGCCAATGAACATTCAGCACGCCACCGGAAGTACGTAGTAATCAGCTGTGTTGACAAAAGAGTGGTATGTGGTTTTAAATCTTACGGAAATAAAGTGCAATTCTTCAATATTCTAGGTGATTTCGAAAAAAGGTTTTTTGGGCTAGTACCGACAAGAAGAACCTGGTGCTTAATATTCTGCAGTGCAGGCGTCAAAAATATCATATTTTAATACTGATATCAATTCCTACCCTAATTCTGTTAGGGAAACTTACTTGATAATCAGAGAAAGGGCGAAAGGAAATACGTCTTTTACCGGGCACTGGTCTCTCGGGTCAATGATTGTAGTGCAGAACTTTTCAGAAATCCGTTTTAATGACGTCTTAATGACGTCTTAAGATCTTATATCTCTACATGTTACTTCTTCATTATTTAAGAAGGCCTTGGATCATCAGAGGAGATGGCCTGATTCCCCCTCCAGTCCGTCGTGGTAGGCAAAAAGCCCGCGAACTTCGAATGTAATTGTCACGGGAACAGCTCTCTCGTTTTCTCTTTGCCCGTCTCCCGCTATTTTCTCCACTTGTGTCTAATGACCGAGAGTTTAATAACGCTTATTTCTCAATGCAGCCCTCAGAATCGTTGCGTAAAAGTATCCTAGATACAAACTGTTCTATATTACGCGCGCTTGAATGAGATATTACAGAAATGCCGCGGAGTAAAGAGGACTAAAGATTTGTGGTTGAAGGCGACTGGATTTGAAAAAAGAATCTGAAGACATCTCAAGCACAAAAGGGGAACTGGTTTTCGGTAAAAGTTCAGTCTACCATTGTTTCTAGCGTGCCTTCCAACATAAGCTTAACAGAATGGAGGAAAGTGCTGTACCTTCCCGTCATTAAAATTCCTCTTGCATGCACTTTCTCTCCCTCTTTGGTTGAGGTTGAAAAGTTAGTACTAAAATCTTCCTCTGGACTACCGTTTTGCTCAGCTTTAATTTCATTATTGTACTTATCATGCTATTTATCCAATCAGTTTTGTACTCTATTTCCACTCTCCCTTTCCAGATTTATTTCCATCCCAGTTTACCTTTTCCCAGGAGAAATCTCTCTTAAAAAGGCTGAGTCAAGTCAACCTTTTTACCCTAACGAAGGATGAGAACGAGGAAATTTGACATATTCCAATAATGATTGTGTGAGCTTTAAATGGTTTGACTGACGAAGACAAGTAGAACAAATGTAAATACAGCCTTTTACCAATTTAATAGCTTATCTTTGAACGAGAAACATTTAATTTCTCTCCAACAATAGAAAGATGTGAAAGTCTATTTAGCTCTTAGTCCTAAATTACAAACAACATATTAACAAAATACTAAGCTCCTCAATAATTAACACCAGACAAAAAAATTTGTATTTATATTGATGACATCCTAATCTGCTTAAGTATTTCAAATAACTAAATCCACCTTCCAATTTCTCTTTTTTGCCTAAGGTTTTTTTTATTGGCCAATAAAATGTTAAAAAATTAAAAGCAGCCTCTTTTACAACAAAGATAAGTTGATAAAACTGATTAAAGTATCTTCAACAATAAACATGACCAAATCAATTGACCACACAAACAAATATTACATTAACAGTAACACTGCCAAGGCTCCAAGCTTAACTCATTACAAGGCTGCCATTTGGCCACCTGAAGTAAAATAATGGACTGCAGATTAAAAAAAAAAAAGCAGATCAAAAAAAACAAAAGCTTGGTCACCAACCAGGGGACATTTTGTGAAATATCTGAAAAAATCTTCTGTTAACCACTGCAACCAAAATCTCCCCAAAGCACTGGTAGTCTGACGTCTTTTAACGAAACTATTCAACATGATTAATTGCTTCTTTCTTCTGCTTCACAAAGCAATGGTGGCTCATGTGGGTTTATGCTATTCTAATAAACAATTCTTCACTTGCATGCAAAAGTTCTCAATCACAAAAAAAAAATGTATAACAAGGAAGTTGAAAAAACCAGTTAAGAAAAGTACATTATAGCTTTGCCACAAGTTTAAGGCATCCTTACTCTTAGAGCTCCAAAATTCAAGTCTAAACCAACACCATTACCTTAGGAGAACAATCAGTCAATTTTTCCTGTTCTATGCAACTTATTGGAATATTATGAAAGCTCAATTTGGCACTAATCAGTAAATCAGCACTAATCAGCCCTAACCAGCTACCAGCTACCAGCTAATTTTTCTTGTCCTATGTAACTTGTTAAAATATTATGAAAAGTCAATCTGGCATTAAGAGAACTCAATTCCAATCACATATCTAGACCTACAAGCAAACTCAATACCAATCTACAACCTCAGGCTAGATTAAAACATTAAAAAAATCACAGCCATTGGCTACACATTCTTGTAGTTATATCCAAAGAGAAATCACAACCCTTTACTCCACTCAGTGGTTGACAGGTAACTCCTTCCTACATTAACACTAAGTTTAAAGCCAGCTTAAGACGACAACATATAAGCTATAAGCTCAAGGATGTTTCTCTGTAGTAACCCCAAATTCTCTGAACCAATTTACACAAAGATGCTTGGCAATTTAAAGGGAAAATGCAAAACAGTTTTTAGGGGTTAGAGTATTTAAAGCAGCCAGAGGCATATCCTGCATCACCTGTATCTTCAGGGTTTAGGAAAATTTGACAGTGGTTAGAAAAACAAGTAATCAAATTCACCTTCAGACTCTATATGGTAATCATCAAAATCACTAGCTGAATTCCAATTCCAGTCAAAACTTGAAGTTTCACTATCACTGTCAAAATAGGCATCATCCTCATCATCAGAATCTCTCCAATCTGCAAAGAAATCTGTTGGCCAATATTCTTTACACATTCTTTGTAAAATCAGTTGTGGTAACTTAATGGTTTGGAGGTTAAAGGAGCCTATCTTGTCACTTATGGTGAGGTTTTTCACTTTCTGCCACTTGTTGGACCGTGCGTTGTACTTCACAGCATCGCAGGAGGAGTATGTGGTCTCAGGTTGGAGAGGAACAGTAACCTGGTTTTTAACAATGATAACATTGTTGACTGGACAATGAGGGTAGGGCAGTTTTGCAATGGTGTGCCATTCGTTGATTCTAGGGGCATACACCTCACAGCTGGTGGTTTGAACTCCACTTGAATCAATTCCTCCAATGGCATAGATCTTGTTGCCCCAGAACACGCACCCTGGCGTTGACCTGGCTTCTCTCAAATGAGCAACATAAGACCAAGAATCTTTATCTGGGTCATACCTTTCAACACTGCAAAGTGCTGTATCTCTAATATAACTTGTTCCTCCACCAACAATGTAAATGTGGGACTCAGTTACAACACAGCCAGCAAAACATCTGGGTGTATCAAGTCCTGCACAAGTACTCCACTCATCCAATTCTGGATTGTAACACTCCACTGTACCACAGCAACCAGATGTTTGCCATCCACCAATGTAGTACAAAAGCTCATGAAAGGCAACAAGGGATCCCTTCACTCCAAGTTCTTTAGTGGATGCTTTCACTTTCCATTCAAGTTGAACTTTAACTCCTGGTGTAGAACACAGTTTCTTTGTGTCATCTAAACACATGGCACTGACCTTCTTCACACCCTTAGTTCCATACTTTTGTTCTCCTACTAAATACAGGGTTCGTCCAACTATAGCCAAATGTCCATCGTACCCAAAGAGTGACAAGTCTGCCATGGAAAAAAGCTCCTTTTTTTTGAAATCGTAACAAAATGCTTTACGGCAGTCTCCAGTTCCAACTCCAACAAGAACATCATGCATCTCTGTTGATGGCCTCACCTGCTTCTCTAAAACAAATTTCATATCCTTTGCTTTTCTGGATTTCCTTGTCCACTTTCTCTTCTTCACTTTCTTTGGGGCAGGAACAGTAAGTATTTTGGCTGCCTTCAAAAGTGGTTCTTTGCTTGACTGAAGGAATCCTTTTGGAAGAGAAGCCATTCTTAAGTGTTTCAGTAAATCTGGTAAAACAGGGGCACGATTGGCCTCATCATGTTCAACCCACTTCAACACACATTGATAAACCTCCTCCTCTTTCTCCACTTGAATCTCATCATCAGAAATAAAGGACACCAAATCATTTTGCAGAATCGACGCAAATTCTTCATTCTTTACTACAATGGAAAAGTTTACCTTGATAAAATTCTTTGCCTTTCTTGCCAGCACGTCCGCACCAAACTGCTCTGCTATCTGAAGAATGCTAAAACAGTTCTCACTTGTAAGCTGTTTGGAGAGCAAGTCTATACAGGCGTTCTTCACTGGTATTACAAGTAAGAAACTCGACGCATGTAGCAAATCTAAAACGTTGTCCTCATCGATGAGGATTTCACGGGTGTAAAAATAATCGAGAATAAGCGACATAGCTGTAAAACTAACTGAATGCAGGCCCAAAATCTTTTGGTTTGATTCCTTCATACCGCTACCGAACATGGTGTAAAAGAACTGGCTGTTGGCCGCCAAAACACAACGATGTGTCGTAAGCTGGTGACCAAGCACATCCAGGATGATATCGCAGAAACCTGCTTCTCCTTCGACTCTTAATGCATTTAACAAAGATAAAGTATTGCTGTCTCTTCCCTTGAACATAGTTCGGCCAGGAACATGGGAATTAGACTCCACGAGTCTCTCATTGTCTTGTAGCTCGAAAAGATTCGCTACACTCAGCCTGTTTTCGATTTCACTGGCGGTCGCCATGTTGGTTTGAAAGATGTATCGCAATGAATGGCGGGACACAAAAAGCAGGTTTCTCTTGCCAAGCTATCGATTTCCCGCCAAAATAATTTCAAGTCTGATTTTCCTAATAATCATAACCATCACAATTTCCTCAAACATGATTGGTACATTAGCTGCTTCATTTTTTACCAATCATTCTGTAGAGCTGTAATCGGACAGTTGAAGTAGCCAATAATACTGAGTTCACGCAGCTAAATCCACCAATCACAGAATTAATCACAATAACCATAGCAACAGCCACTTATCTTAGAAAAAATTGAGGAATTTCCTAAATGGAGAAATTTTCTTACTTTAGATATTGTCTCTACCAGAGATATTTGACCTTAATGTATTTGTTGTAACGGTTATGGTTAATTGGTAACAGGGTTTCTTGTCATCCAGTTGTGTCTGTAATCATACTCGTGATTGATGAATTGGACTCCCACTTCGCGGTCGTCCAATTTTGTTAATCACTCGTAAGATTACAGACCGAATTGGACTCCGCTCGGTCCTGTTACCATTATCAGCACATGCATAATTCGCATGAAATAAGTTATTCAAGGAGAGGATGGTTTTATGATACACCTTTGGACTTCAGGTCGTTTTGGGCAGATAGAATAAAAATAATTCACAGGAATAAACACCTTAAAAAGTGCAGTCAAACCTGTATGGTCACACAGGCAGAATGGTGGGCTTACCGCTTATTACAGGTTCGACAGAGTAGAAAACGATAAAAAGTGCCTTTTTATGCCATAATTGTCCGTTTAATGTACAAAAACTCGCAAGGTTCGGGAGAGAAACATGGATTATATTTTACTTGAAAGATCCTTCTTAATTTTATTTTAGTGGTTTCGCTTCAAGTGGCCGTTCAATACAGGTGGGAGACAAAACAAACAGGCCGCTAGAAGTCACTCAAAGGTGACCACTTTGCTTAATAGAGGTGAAAATTACAGTGATTAGGGGGAAACAAATTCGGGTCCTTGACAACCGACCGCTTTACGGGATGACCCATTAGTACGAGAGTACAGGTTAGACTGTAATCTTAAAATGTACCGTACCTCAATACTTCGACCTGCGTGACTCACTTACTGTATATAGTGCGATGAATGGCCTACTTGAAAAGAGAGAGGCGATAGTGATTTCTTCTGCACCGAAAGCGGTCGTCGAGAAAAATCCTCATAATGCATTTATGGGCAACGTCGAGCTTGATGCGTGGTGTTTTGGTCTGGAATGGCCAGTGACATAAACAATTAGCTGATTCATGCAAAAATTGTCAAGAACCACGAAAGCAACTAAACGAAGGTGAAGGGCCGTGAAACTTGGTCTTGACTTATTCGAAACTTGACTTAAATTTATCTGCTAACAACCCTTGCGATCTTCGGGTCCTTCGGCGGTGAAGTTCGTTTTATGCAACCACTCGGCTCAAACCCAGGTTGAACTGAATGGTAACAGAAACAGCCCTAATGTCTATGACACCTTTTTTCGGTGGTTTCTCAGAGTTAAAGTAACAAACAACACACTGATTTTCCTTGCATAGAAGTTGTTTTATTGTTTTATTGATCACGCAACAAGATGATCAGTAATATGAGGAAAGTGGATTTTGCCAAATGAAACAGAAGCAATATTTCAACAATGTACGAGCAGTTGTTTCAGAATTAAGGTAACTTCTTCTAAAGAAAGGTCTCTAATCTTTTAATGCATGCCTTAAATTTACAGCAAAAAGATTTTCCATCAAAAGCCAAATTAGTAAGGGTTCAGAAGTGACTCTCCAAAGTGTTATCAGGTTTATACCCTGTCTTTATGGATCATTTCTTTCACCAGTTCTGCGTGTTGAAATTCAGTTGGGTCTGTACACTGGAACTCGATATTCAGTCCAGTGAAGCTTTTCTTCAACGCATCTTTTGAACTGGCGTAAATCATCTTTTTGCCGATTGCAACATCATCATTACACCTGTTTAAGAACAAGAAATGGGTAATCAAACTCTAATACAAAAATGAAGAATTATCATGTCTTAGCTAAGTGCGAAACTCATCTATCATTTAATCATCTAATCATCACCTTTATTATTATTATTGTAAAAGGATAATAAGGAATGAAACGTATGTATTTAAGTCTTAAGGTGGAGGAAACAGATTGTCTCAGTATTTTTGAAGCAAGGAGTTCGAGCGATCATCAAAAATAAATCGTACACACCTCAGGTGGATCAAAAAATTTTAAGTTCACGGACCACCAAAAGAAATACGGATTGATCAGGGAGGAACAAATCTTTTTGAAGAATTAAAATCCCGGCGCAGAAAAACTAGATTTCCAGCGCTTCTTCGAAGTTAGATACTCCGTACTTAAAAATAAAGATAATTATAATCATCATCATCAAAATAATGGTAATGACTTCTCAACTTTTTTTTATAGTGCTTTTACTACTTGAATAAGAGTGCGCAATTGCTCTTTACACTTATTCAAAAAGTTTTCTTTACAGAATTGGATGTGTTCACAAGTATCAGTTGAGTCTTCTTTACAAATAAAGATTCCTTACAGGATACCAAGAAGATGTAACTATAAAAGATGTGGCTAAAAAGTATATTATACTCGCACGAAAGGCATTAGGAGGACTGGATATACAGCAAAATTTTTTGAAAAAAGTCTTACCAACTGATTAATGCTAACTTCTGCGCTGTAGAATGATTCGGTCTGGTGAAACAGAAGTCAAAAAGTATGTAACGAGGTTCGTTTCCAAAAGACTTTTTCATGCTGTTGAATATGTCCTCATTTCGGGATTCAGAGCAGTTTTGAGGAAGTTTATCTCCCAAGGTTTCCACGACGATCTTCTTTTTGTCTTTGATCATCATTACCACGTATGCATGCCTTTTCTTCAGCTTGATGTCATTATAAGCATCCATGACAGCTTGGTCTACTTCCACCCCAGAAGACTGAAAACACGAAAATTAAGCATCGAAAAGTATTTCATCTGATATTGTGATCTTTATTACTGGTTTCTGAGTACCTGTAGCAAAGTTTAAGTTCTCGTGCCTCCACCTCGTGTCTCTGGTCGCAAAAGAAAGATTCTTCCACAGCAAATTACAAGCTGATGCGGCGCTTAAGATTTTTAAGAAACTAATTTCAAAACTTTGTTTCACCATATCAGAAAAAGGTACTCACCATGTTCTTTGCAGATCAAATTCACTCTGAAACAAAAAGAAATTTAGATGAACTATTGTAGGTCGTGTCCCAAATTTTAATTCCAATTATGCTTTTCGAATTTATCAACAAAACTGTAATTAACAAAGTAAGGAAAAAGTCGAGAAGTTAATTGTGCAAAATGCTGAAAAATAATTTCATCATCTCTTGCGAAATGGAACATACGTGGAATTTCTAAGGTAATAGACTAGATATTTTTAATTTAGACACCATAAGCTTTGGCTCGACGAAATCTTTTTGAAAACACCTTCCATGTGCAGTGCACTTTGGTTTACACTGCTGAATCAGGACAAAACACCATTTCCCCTAAAATGCATTTTCCCTAGTACTTCACATTGTCCGAAATATCCTATAATTTGCTTTCTTTCGAATGCCTAAGACTGCTGAAGCTTCCGGACACTTGCTTTACACTTGCTCTAAACTCTTTTAAATATACTTTGAAGTATAGGATGAGTTTACTTGAATCTAATGAAAGAAAAAGTGGCCTACCTTTTAATTCGCAGGAGTAGTAGTTTGTTAGCAAAGACTGTTGTGTATCTGTGACGTATGTTTATCGAAGATTCAATTAATCAGTGAAGTCAGAATGGAAAACATCTGAAGTTGAACTTAAATTTGCTTCATAAGTGAAAAATTAATGGTAATTGGTTTCTGAGGTAGCTTTTCAGTCTAGTTTGCAATTTTCCCGCCACTGCTCGGCGCGCCTGCAGCCAAGTCTCTCCTGATTGGAGAATTTAGATAAAAGTGGCTTGCTGATTGGTTGGTTATCGCTTTGCATCAAAACACACTCTTTATTTTAGTCCTTCTCGCAGCTCTTCATTGTTCGTGACTTCTGTTTTGGTTTTTCTTTCCTCGATCAATTTTTGTATCAAATTTTTCTCGTTATTTTATGTTTCTTTGACCTTGTAGATGTCTCACCACTGTCCTTATTGATTGTAAACATTTATATACCAAACCATTTAAAAATTCATTAGTTTTGAAAGTTGAAACGGGGGGGAAGGGATGCTCAGCTGAGCCTTCCGGCTAAGCGTCCAGCTGTTTCTAAGAATATTCAAAATGGCGTCCTCTAATAACAAAAAAATGGCGGGTAACATGAATTCGCTTTGCTGCACATATTTAAAATTTTAGCAATGTACACACTAGTGAATCGAGACGAGGAGAGTTCAGTGTATAATTGTGTTAAAAACCTGTTATTAGAAGGATCATCGGAGAAGACGAAATGGAGAGAAGTTCATCAAGATTTCGAACGGTTCAACTTGATGTTTGGAGAGAGGAAAAGGAGAGGACTAGATTATACAAGGCTGGGTATTTACATTTGTATTAAAGATCATGTAAATATGTATATGTAAAGATCAGACCAATTCCTTCATGTCGTTTTACGATGCACATGGTTGAAAAGGATTTGTGGCACAGAATTGTGCTGAAGAAATGTAATATGGTTTCCGTGTTTACATAGCCTGATGTAAACACTTGGGAGGTTGGGAGA